GTACCGTGGTGCATCCCTAGGCCATCAAGAAGTCTGAAAGATGGTCAACATCAATGTTATCAAACCCTCCCTCAACATCAATCGATAGTATCAGTTGGTGGTACCCCTCATTATGCTTCCGGAATTCAAACACCACAGCCATGGCATCATAAACACCCCTCTTCCGCCGCGAACCGAATTGTGTGTCGCCCAGCTCGAAGCACTGAGCTAACCAGATGAATATCACCTACTCAGCTACCTTCCCTATTACCGGCAACCGCTGAATCATCCTCCACGCCTTAACCACATCGTACTGTGGTTTGCCAACCTTGGGGATCAATACCACCTCCCCCTCGTGCCAGTCTGGGATGTCATTTCTCAACCCATGGTCAACCAGGCATCTCACTCCCTCAGCATCTTTCCGTTTCCGGAACCTCAGGAAGGGATATCCCATGTCGTCGATGCCAGGGGCAGTGTTGGTCGGCGATCATATCAAGGCCTTCAGTACGGGTATCGTCTCTTTCTTGGAGGAGGAGGTTGCATTGCTGTTGTAGCTATTGGTACTGCGGAGTCTGTTCTGGGGGCACAGGTGTCGCGTGACGAGGAGGAGGAGCAGGGGCATTCAGGATCTGACGAGCCAGGTGTCTGGCAAGGTTGAACTGGGCCTGGAGCTGGTCATGGTCTAGGCTTTGTGCGTGGTCATCCCCCAGATTCGTGAGGGTATGAAGGGGACCATTGATGTTATCAGGGAGGTGGGACGTGGCCATGGTTTGGTGTGGCTTGAGTCCTGGTAGACGCAATCTTAAGTAACGGACAGGGTCGGAGGGTTGGGTAGTCCAAGGCACACCACGATCAGGGTAGGCAGGAGTTTGGAGGCGAGATCTAGGTGCGGAGGTACAACCGAAGCGAGTTGTACGAGGTTCAGGGCTCAGGGGTTCAGGGTCAGGGTTCAGGGGTTCAAGAGGACTTGAGACAGAAGAGAGTGTAATTCCTAGGTACAGGTGTCTGAATTAAATCCAATGTTATATTTATACTCGGGCGCTCCTTCCCGGCTTATGCTACCAGCGATCATCCTATCATACACCTACCATAAGGGCAGCCGGGCCTCCGGCGGACCACAAGCGGACTGGAACACCGGTCGAAAGCAACTGCCTGGGGCGGGGGTCCCCACCATACACCGGCGCGGGTAACAACAATATACAACACCAAAAAACCTCCGAACCCATATCAGCCAGACCCGTTAGCGACCCCGAAAGAATACTACAAGCCAGCACCTCCGTGAGCGAGCAAACACGAAAGCTAGGTACAAGAACATCAACAGCCCCGATCACCCCCGCACTAACTGACAACCTGATACCCGACCGGACAGGAACAGAGCGACCAAAGTCCTTGGTCCCATCCAACAAGGTAAAGGGAGTTACGGCCCGCGGCCATCCCTAAAATAAATAAACCAAAATACAAATCCGGTCTGAATACCATCCCTCAAACCCAAGAAAATAAACCTCCACCCTAGAAAATCTCCACGCCACAGCGCCGACTGCCCATCAAGGGGAAACATCGGATGCGGCACCATACCAACCCGTAACAACCCGACCGGGTCCCCAGCTACCAGGTAGGTGGGCCACACTTGCAATGGGTCTGACCACCAAGCCCAGTGCCATGCCAGGGTCCCAACCGGACCGGCACACATCAGCCGCCACCCAGGGGAGCCGAGAGCCAACCACCCCACACCACCGCAGAAAAACCGGGAGGGGGGAACAATTCTCTGGGTCAAAGCCATCCCCATGGGGAGGAGACCCATAAGACACCGTAAATGCAAGCAACCGGACTATTATCGCGAGAAACGGGCAGACGAAGGAGCGCGACGTGAACGACGAGCGACCGAGTATTTGAACCTTATCCATGTAGAACCGAGGAGCCGAAGCCCTCAGCCAACAGTGGAGAAAGGATGTCAGTGAAAGTAAACCTAAGCAAACCTAAGCTATCCAGTCTCAAACCTGTGATCCCGTGGGAAGCCAGGGACTCAACCCCCCTAAACCGATGAAACGAACGCGAAATCCTGTGGGAAAATGAGGACAGGAAAGCCGATACTGTTTTACCAGAACGAAGGTCCAACTATAAGGAGACAACCGAAGTCGTCAAAGAAGCGAGAGTAATTCCCATGGGAAGCTCTTAGCAAAAGAAGGCGACCAGGCCCGCGGGCAAGGAAGAAAGGGTGTCCGAAGGAGATTACCAGATTGCGCAAAGAACATAAAATATAAGGAGACACACCCTCTTATATAGATAGGAAATCCTCCATGATCACTAATACAAAAGAAATCCTTGGCGTCGCGCGCAGCCGTGATTCTTCCGTCATGTGCCGCCAGGTTCCGTCGCGCGGTAACCGGCCCCAATCATAATATAAAGGAAATCCTACAAAGCAACCAAAGAAACCACAACCAATAAATGCAACTAAAAGCCCAATGTTCCATCCCCATACCAGGCCGGGTGGCCGTGACAAGGAGACTCTCTGGAGCAAAATTGGGACAGCAGGCTGGGTTGAAGGTGTGACCACATACTATTCAGAGCACCCTTGCTATCGAAGGATACATCCAATGCAAAGCTTGCAAGAAGCTATTTATTGACCACAATATGCAAAAGGCAAGACTAGCCTACTCTATTCCACATTCTGACAAATCAACAGAATGGTGGTACAAATACATCTATAGTGATGAGGTTACCATTGATACCTCTTGCCAGAGGTCAGCATGGGTGACATGTTCCTCCTTGAAAACATTACTATGAGGATTGTATTCAATCTGCTTTCAATAGTAGCCAAGCATCAGTTCCAATGTGGGGTGTGAGTGGATACAACTGGAAGTCAGAACTTATATTCTTTCACGGTACTGTACATCATAATAGTATCACCTCTACTAACTACCTCACATAGGTGCTGCAGCCAATTGTTGCACCTGTATTCCACAATCAATTGGGATTTAATTCTACCATTGGTGAATATATAGAAGATACAGCACCATGGCATGGGACAAAGGTGGTTCTTGTTCAGCCAAAGAAACAGTTAGGTATCCCACTTCACCAATGACCAACTTCATCACCTGACTTCAATCTCATAGAGAATATATGGCGAATTGTCAAACAGCATATTAAAGCAAGAGACCACTTTCCTGGAACCCATACAGAGATGTGTCAGGCTGTACAGCAGGAATGGGATAGGCTAGAACCCTCAGAATAGAATGGGCTTATTGATAATATGTCAGACAGACTAAAGGAATGTTGTGACTGTAATAGTTTACAGAGTCGTTATTAATTGCCTAATCCTTTCTTCTTTCTCCTGTAACAAGTAACTGGTTTCATTTGTTATTCTTGTTGAGAATTTATATAGTTTGTATACTATACCTCCCTTGTACTCATGAATTTTTTGTGCCAAGCTCGTACTGCTGTACTAGAAACGCTGGGGTCAAAAAATCCATGCCAGGAAAATATGGAAAAATCATCAAATTCCATAACATCTCAATCTATGGATCTGTTGCTGCAAGTGAACCGAACAGGGCCTTATTTGAATTGACCTACCAGAGGGCATACCGAAAAATGCGGCACAACGAAAATCCAGTGAGTGTAGGAAATGTCTAAGGCCATGTTTGGTTGCGATGGTTCTATTCCGTTGGGCGACGATTTCTGCTTTGAAACTAGCATTCTCTCCATTTTGAAACGGCCATCTGTATGGGACAACAGAACGGAACCATCGCAACCAAACAGGGCTTTAGGGAAGCAGCCTGTTTGCTGTGATTTTCTTGTGTATTTATTGGGACACTCACCAAACTTTTCGTGGTGCCATTTTTTTCAGTACTCTTGCCAAGGTTTCGGCGAGCAGCCGCAACCTTAGAACCAGGACCCTAAATTCTGGGCAAACTCGACCAGCCGCTATGCTTCTTAAGGTAGCCACTAGTTCTTTTAAGGCCCAATCCGGTGGCAAGTATGCTTTTCTGGGGATAGTAACTGCCATACAGAGAATAGTGGCGGGTTGAGTTTGCCCAGAATTTACGGTATGCCCTCATGCAAATTACGTTATTGTGTTCTTTGTTCCATTGCTCTTATAGTTTGTCATAAATTACGTAACTCCGGAGCGGTGCTCTTGATTTTTCCATTTTGCCACCTCCGATGAATATTTTTAACCCTAAGAGAAAAATATGAAGAACCACCCCTGCCCCCGCCCAACAACTGGGCTCGCTGGATCATACACGAGCGCCTCTTTGAGCTCAAGGACTCCCCGCCCCACCACCCCGACTACGCCTATTCTAAGAGATATTCAGCAATATACGCCACCGTCATCCCTCGACTACCTGCTTCCCCCAGTTCTCAAGTCTGTCCACAGATTGCACTTACCACAATCACCAACACCAACGATGGCTCTAAATCGCTCTCTCCTACGTAATGTCTATTTTCATGATGCTACCAATCCTGATGTAACTCTTGGAGGACTTTTCCAGAATGGCTCTATAACCGAGGCAAACTTTCTCGACATCCTCGGAATCTTACTCATCTTTGAGGGGAATCCACTGTGGGCTCGAGGGAGGGTATCGGGCCATATTGTATCCAGAACAGATATACCGCTCAAAAAAGTAGTGTACGATATTTATTGTGATGGTATGTGCTATATTTCCCCCATTTGCTAGGCGGCCCAATTGCTAATTTCGCCAGCCTCTATCCAAGTCAGTAACGAGCCTTGGGTACCCCGGTTGATTTCTCACAATACGAGCGGTAGGAATGATAGATTTTGTCATGAAGTCCGTAATCGCGACCGGAGATGCGTTATTTCTGGATTGATAAATCCTGAAGGCCATATTCAGGCCAATAACTGGGGAGATTTCCAAGCTGCCCATATATTCCCTCCTGAGTATGAAAGTCTTTGGACTCAGTTTGATTACGGCCGATGGATCACAGACATCGACGATACTCTTGGGATCGACTCATGCCAAAATGGGTTTCTTCTTGACACAGCTATACACACTAAATTTGATCAGTACCTTATCACTGTGAACCGCGACAACAATTACAAAATTGTTGTGTTCGATATGGATATTCGCGGATTGGATGGTAGAATTCTCGATCCCGTGTGCCGCAACCCGGACGATCCCCACTGTGTTTCCGACAAACTTCTGAGATGGCATTTCCACCAATCAATCCTCGCGAATGTCAGAGGAACAGGGCACCCCATCTGCGAGCATGACTTCCCACCAGGACATGATATGGTAGGGGAGATACGGGACGGTCCCTATGGGCAGGAAAGATTCGAGTTGGAGATAGCCTCTAGGCTTAGAGGGTTTCCGAAAGCCAACTGCGTCCATCACGGAGAGCCTCTACAGATGTCGGTTTGATGGCTCTGGGCGCGCAATGATTTACTGGAGGCCTAGCAGGATCGCAGCGGTGATTGTGCAAGTGAAAAAAGCGTCACGTAGGGTGGTGTTGGCTAGATGGGTTAATAAAACAATATCTTGCAATGGGGGTTTTTTCTTGCTTCATTTTCTTTCTTTGTACTCATCTTTAGGCTAGCGATTGTTGTGTGGCTGGCATTCTTGCAGTATATGGGGGTAAAGGAACGAAAAGGATCGTTCATAGTTTAGCTATCGCGGGCGTGACTGTACGATCTTGGTGGCACAATAAACTAACTCTACTGGTTCCTGGATTTCTCTTATATAAAATACGCATTTTCATCACATGAAGAATGATCACCGGAAAGAGGAAAAACAATCTGAAAAAATGCGGAAAGTTTGAGGTGAAAGAAGAGAGTCAAATGATCTGCATACCCAATGACTATATCGTACGTAACCCGCGGCATATCAAGCCATCAACCCAATTACTAGCCGATACTAATATATTAACTAAAGCTCAACGTATTGGTCCTGACTCCAACCTGCCTATGGCTCTCTACGCACGGCGCTGGCTAGGTGTGGAATACGCCATTTCTGAAGCAATCCGGGTTTTAAATTATATTGATGAAGGTATCATAGAAGTTCTATCACTATGTCCCAAGTTTATACGGCATTCCCAATCTTTACCGAGTAACCACAAGGGGTTAACATCATCTGTGTGCAGTAAGAAGCTAAAGTTTTATGTTAGTTTTCTCATGACCCCATTTCACATGGCTGGCTTTAATTTCAAAATATCCCTTTAAACTTGCATAAAACTTTATACAAACCCGTCGGCTTTGTATAGTGGACCAAATATACTTACCCAACAAATGTCAAGATCTGCACCGCCACCCGGTCAAGGCCTACAATAAACGAGAAAACCTTTCATACTAATATGTGCTTGGCGGTAGACCCTTTCGTATCCGCAAAGGTTTCAGGTTTAGACTATCCATCCATCCTCCCTCCCCCTCGCCTCATCGCGCACCCGCCCATCCCCATTCTCACTCCTCCGAATACGATAAACACACCCTACATGTTAGATCTTACCATGTTAAATACAACTACCATGACCGACCCCCCCATATTTGCTATCCCTAGAAAGGCGTCAGATTTGGCCAGCATTAACCGCCTATACATCCGCCTCTGCCTCGTCCAATGTGGCTACCGCGATCCACTCCGATTGAAAAACGGCGGGGTTATAGCAACAGGATAAGGCAAAGACTGGGACAGTAGTACACGATTGCACAACAGGACTTCTCGGTGAGGAAGAAAGATCTCCGTCCCGTACTTCATTTAAAACCAAACTAACGGAAAAGACAGGAGGTATATATAACCGAAAAAACGAGCACATCCTCCAATCCTTCTATCCTTCCACCGGTCACCACGCATATCCATTCTCTTCCTTTCCCTGCACGCCTCCCGCTCTCTCATTCTGGCTCCCGCGCTAACATAAGAAAGCCATGCTTCTCAATGAACTCTTCCGTCTTCCTAGCCCGCGCGCATCCCGCTCTCGTACAAAGGACTCTCCCACTACTTCCCGGCCTCCCCCTTCCTTCCAACCGCATCCATGCCCATGATCTTTCCTCCAGCCACGAATGGATGACGACGTGTGACGGCTGCGAGCGAACGGGTGACAAAAGTAATGATAACGGGAACGGGAACGGGAACGGCAGCGGTACCAACGGGCGAGAGCGCACGAGCGGGCGACAAATCACGAGCAGGCGACAAATCACGAGCAGGCGACAAAGGTTACCGCACGAGTGGCCGATAGCCTACGTGTGGACGGGCAATAGCAATACAAACAAGCGGGCCATAGTGATTGCATGCCAAGCAGCATTTTCAACAACTCCAACGCTCGGGTCAGGATCTCCGGGGCATCATAACAAGGAGAGTCGGGAATCAGCACAAATGCAGGCGCAGTTTGGACTGTGACGTGGTGGCAGTTGCAGAGCCAAAGGGTTCAGGGAACGGCTACTCGGGCATCATGGTTAATACGGCTATTCTCGTAAAGGCCAGCTTTCTCTACACATTACTCAGGTGTTATGGAGTGTGGTGGTAATGGAGGGTGGTTATAACAAGCATGTCGGCGAAGGATCCAGCGAGTAGTGCGATAAAATACCTCTTGGCAACGGTAAGCTTTTCCGTCCTCTGCTTGTACCCGTCCACCCGCCGCCCATCTACACTCCTGCACACAGTCGTGAAAACTGACGATACCGTTTACCTGTGATAGTGTTAGTTTGCAGTTCCGGCGCTGGTATACATGACCCCAGTTTCGGAGGACAAAAATGTTTGCGCGCCCGTACTGGGTTATTGGGGTTAATATTTGTTTCCTCGTTTCTTACGCCCGAGGGGAAATTCACTGGAAGTGGGTTCTCTGGTTCGCGGCCTTCTATCGCTGGCTACACTACCGGCGGGATCTCTGGCGGGGAGGGGGGGAGAAGGACGAAAGGTGAGAGGTCAAGGAGGGGGGGGGGGGGGGTGATGTGCATTGAGCCGGTGGGAGCCCCGAAGCATGTAAGATGGACCAAGCAGCGGTCGGACTCGGTGCGATTCTGTGGTATACACCCCCCTCCCCGTCACCCTACACGCCATTCATTCCCCGGTTCCATTTTGTTCCTTATTAACCTGATACAGGCTTTTCAGGCCTGGAACTACTGCGATCGTGGGCTACAGCATCCCCGTTCGAAGACCTAGCCCGGCAGGACATGACATTGAGGAAACCACCAAGGA